CAAGTGGGAGGAAGCCTCCTTAAGGGCTCTGTTTTGGGCTTTTACACGCAAAGGATAAAGGGTTCTTTGGGTTATTAAAATATTCTTTACACTAACAAAAAAATTGGTCTTTTAAGAACTGTTCACTGAAAGGTTATTTAGGGAGCTTAAAATGGTTCAAAAACCCGTGTTTGGATCCTTATTTTTAAGGGTGTATTTAAACCGCGACCCCTCGTGAGCGGAATTTAACAGCTACATCTGATTGCCTGAAGGATGGGCTGTTTTTGGAGGGAAAAACAGTTGTGTGGGAAGGGTGCATGAACCCCGCTGTGATGGGAGTTCCCTTCCTGACACTACTTTGCCTCCCTGTGGACTTTTACTATGTGCTAAGGTGTAACATTCACAGGCCATGAGGCAACACAAAAACACCCTGGTGATAGAATATGGACCGCTGCAGCGACTCCCCTCTCAGCTGTAATCTTCTTGTCATTGGCCACCACTTTTTGTATGCAGTTGCTAACTCATGGGTTGGACGTACTTATGTTACCGGGAAGCGGCATAAACCCTCCCTAAACTGTGTTTGTGTGCTTTTTGTATTGTGTAATAACATATGCAAATAGTGCTGACAACTCTCACTGCATCTGCTTCAGTTATTGACTTCAGATATGCAAAAATAGCAAATATTAACTGAAGTAATCAGGGTGTCAAAACAATTTGAGGGCATTATAAAGGCTTTGAAAAAGGAGAAGGCTCGATAGTTTTACCCAGGAAGCTATACTGCTGTGCTTTTTCAATGCTCTCCATCCCCCATACCTCTCTGAATAACAAAACTGTTACTGGAACTTCAACCAGAAAGCCCACCCCTTCAGCCAAAAGTTTTAATTTGAATCTTTGCTCAAAACTCTTCAGCTTCTCTTGATAAACGTGTGCAGAATCATAGGACAGGTGCTGTGGCTATGCATCTTTTGTCACCTGAACTGACTCATGGGAACTCGGCGGCGACTTTTGCCTTGCCTTGCAATTTATGTCTTGAAGTAGCCTGTTATAAAATGTATTTTTTCAGCTTTGCAGAGTTAGGTACTCATGCTCTCTCTTTGAGGTTGTTTTGGACTGCAGCTTCCATCTGCCTCCCTGTGAACCTTCACCTAGAAATATCCACCAGATATCCTCTTAAATTAATTTCTCAAGTTTGCTACTGCCAAGCCCCTGAGAACGGCAGAGAGGGAATAAACAATTTTTGTGATAGTAG